TCAAAGAAGTTGGACCCAAGAAGAAACACACCAAGGCACATCATCATTACATTAGCCAAAATTAAAATGCAGGAGAGAATCCTAGAAGCAGCAAGAGATAAGGGGACAGTCACCTACCAAGGAGTTCCCATCAGACTGTCAGCGGATTTCTCAAAAGAGACCTTACAGGCAAGAAGGGGCTGGAAAGAAGTATTCCAAGTCATGAGATCCAAAGACCTACATCCAAGATTGCTCTATCCAGCAAAACTTTCATTTAGAATGGAAGGGCAGATAAAGCGCTTCCCAGACAAAGTCAAGTTAAAGGAGTTCATCATCACCAAGCCCTTATTACATGAAATGTTAAAGGGACTTATCTAATCAAAAGAAGGTAAAAACTAAGAACAGTAAAATGACAGCAAGCTCACAGTTATTAACAACCATACCTAAAACAAAAACAAAAACAAACTAAGCAAACAATTAGAATAGGAGCAGAGCCACAGAAATGGAGATCACATGAAGGGTTATCAGCAGGGGAGTGGGAAGGGGAGAGAGGGAGAAAAGGTACAGAGAATAAGTAGCATAAATTGTAGGTAGAAAATAGTCATGGGGAGGGTAAGAATAGTATAGGAAATGTAGAAGCCAAAGAACTTCTATGTATGGCTCATGGACATAAAACAAAGGGGGGCAGGATGTGGGTGGGAGGGGGTGGCAGGGTGGAGGGAAATACATGGGGGGAATGGGACAACTGTAATAGCATAATCAATAAAATATATTTTTAAAAGATAAGTAAGCAAGTTTGGTTCCTTCTAGGGACTTGGAGAATCTGTTCCATGCTTCTCTCCTAGCTTCTTGTAGTTGCTGGTAATCATTGGCATTTCTTGTTCTGTGACAACTAAATTTCAATCTTTACCTTTCTCTTCACATGGCCATCTTTTATGTGTCCAGTCCAAAGACCTCTTTTCTTAAAAGAATATCAATTGTTTCAGATTTAGACCCAATCCTAATCCAGCATAACATGATTGTAAATTGTAAGCATCTAGAAAGACCTTATTTCCAAGGAAGATCACACTCCATGTTCCACGTGTACATGAATTTGGGGGGTACACTATTCAATCCAAGACAGTGCACACGCTTTGAAAATACTGAATGAGCCATCACGAAAAAGGGAGGAAAATGCTCCTTACCCTCATCCCAACCACACTCAATGGGAATGAGAGGAAATCTTCGGCATCCTCAGACTAGGATTTCTTTTTTTTTTTTTTTTAATTTTTTCATTGCAGCTACATTCAATATTATTTTATATTACTTTAAGATATACTGCATAGTGGTTAGAAAATTATATATTTTTAAAAATACTCCCCCTGATATTTATCGTACCCACCTGGCACCATACCAAGTTATTACAATATTATTGTCCATATTCCCTATGCTGAACTTTATGTCTCCATGACTATTGCATAATTATCAATCTGAAATTCTTAATCTCTTCACCTATTTCACCTAGTCCCCCAACCCCCTGCATTCTGGCAACCATCAGTCTGTTCTCTACATCTATGTGTCTGTTTATTTTATTCTTTAGTCCACATTTAAATGAAATCATATCATATTTGTCTTTCTCTGACTGACTTAATTCACTTAGCATAATACCCACTAGGTCCATCCTTACTGTTGGAAAATGGTAAAATTTTCATTTTGTTTATGGCCAAGTAACATTCTATTGTATGTATGTCCCACAGCATTTTATCAACTCATTTTATTAATGGGTACTTGGGTTGTTTACATACTGTGGCCATGGTGAATAATGCTGCAGTGAACATAGGGATGCATATATTCTTCTGAATCAGTGTTTTGGGCTTCTTCAACTCTATACTCAGAAGTGAAATCACTGGTTCATAATGCAGTTCCATTTAAAAATTTTTGAGGAACCTCCATGTTGTTTTTCATAGTGGATGTACTGATCTGCATTCCCACCAACAATGCAAAAGTGTTCCTTTTCTTTATAATCCTCTCCAACACTTGCTTGTTGATTTATTGATGATAGCCATTCTGACAGGTGCAAGGTGATATCTCATTGTGGTTTTAATTTGCATTTCTCTGATGATTAGTGACTTTAAGTATCTTTTCATATGTCTATTGGCCCTCTGTACATCTTCTTTGGAGAAGTGCCTATTCAGGCTCTCTGGCTATTTTTTAATTGGATTGTTTGAGATTTTTGAATTTGAGTTGTATAAGTTCTTTATAAATTTTGGATATTAATGCTTTATCAGATGTATCATTAGTGATTATGTTCTCCCATTGGGTAACCTGTCTTTTTGTTTTGTTGATGGTTTCCTTTGCTGTACAAAACTTCAGTTTGATGTACTGGTAGTCTCACTTGTTATTTTTTCTATTGTTTCCCTTAATGAAGGAGATACAGCAGGAAAAAAATATATAAGAGAAAGTCAGAGATTTTACTGTCTGTTTTCTTCTAGGAGTTTTCTGGTTTTGCATCTTGCATTTAAGCCTTTAATCCATTTTGAGTTTATTCTTGTATGTGGTGTGTGAAGATGCTCTAGTTTCTTTTTTGTGTGTTCTTTTTTTTTTTTCATGTATCTGTCTAGTTTCCTCAATAGCATTTATTGGCTATGCTGTTTTTACTCCATTGGATGTTCTTGCCTCCTTTGTCAAATATTAACTGACCACATAGCTGGGGATCCATTTCTGGGCTCTCTTCTGTTCCATTCATTAACGTGCCTATTTTTATACCAGTAACATGCTGTTTTGATTACTATAGCACTGTTGTATAGTTTGATATCATATAGCATGATACTTCCAACTGTGTTCTTTTTTTATCAAAATTGTTGTGGCTATCCAGGATCTTCTGTGGTTCCATACAAGTTTTTGCATTATTTGTTCGTCTTGTGACAGCAACCTTTTGTATTTTGAAGGGAATTGAGTTGAATATGTAGATTGCTTTGGGTTGCATGGGTATTTTAATGGTGTTAATATATCTTATCCATAAACATAGTATATGCTTCCATTTATTTTTATCTTCTCCAATTTCTTTCTTCAGTGTCTTATAATTTACCAAGTACCAATCTTTTACCTCCTTGGTTGAATTTATACCTAGATTTTTTAAATATATATTTTATTGATTATACCATTACAGTTGTTCTATTCCCCCCTTCATTCCCCTTCACCTTGCACACCCCCTCCCCCACCATTCCCCCCCTTTAGTTTATGACCACGTGTCTCAAGTTCTTTAGATTCTATATTTCCCATACTATTCTTGCCCTCCCCCCTATCTATTTTCTACCTACCATCTATGCTACTTATTTTCTGTGCCTTCTCCCCCCTTCTCCTCCTCCCACTCCCCTGTTGCTAACCCTCCATGCGATCTTCATTTCTATGGTTCCACTCCTGATCTAGCTGTCCTCTTAGTTTACTTTTGTTTTAGGTGTGGTTCTTAATAACTGTGAGTTTGCTGTCCTTTCACTGTTCCTATTTTTTATCTTCTTTTTCTTAGGTAAGTCCCTTTAACATTTCATACAATAAGGGCTTGGTGATGTTGAACTCCTTGAATTGATCTTATCTGAGAAGCACTTTATGTGCCCTTCCATTCTAAATGAAAGCTTTGCTGGATAGAGCAATCTTGATTGTAGGTCTTTGGATTCCATGACTTGGAATACTTCTTTCCAGCCCCTTCTTGCCTGTAAGGTCTCTTTTGAGAAATCCGCTGACAGTCTGATGGGAACTCCTTGGTAGGTGACTGTCCCCTAATCTCTTGCTGCTCCCAGAATTTTCTCCAGTGGATATCTTGTAAACAACATATATATGGATCTTATTTTATTTTCCATTTACCTACCCTATGTCTTTTGATTGAAGCATGTAATCCATTTACTTTAAAGTGATTATTGATAGCCCTGGCCTGTGTGGTACAGTGGTTGGAGTGTCTGCCTGTAACCAAAATGTTGCAGGTCAGGGTTGAATCCCGGTCAGGGCACATACCTAACTTGTGGGTTCATCCCTGGCCAGACACATACAATTCCTGGTCCTGGTATAGATCCCCAGTCTGGGTATGTAGAAGAAACCAGTCAATGCTTTTCTCGCATTGATGTTTCCCTCTATCCCTTCTTCTCTCCATTCCTCTCTCTCTCTCTAAAAAAGCAAAGAAAATGTCCTTGGGTGAGAACATAAGTGTGTATTAGTTGCCATGTTGTACATATTTTATTTCTTACAATTATGTTTCTTCTTTTCTTCTTCATCAAGAAGTTTCTATAACATTTCTTGTGTGATGGTGAGAACTACTTTAGTTTTGGGGGGTTTTTTTAGTCTGGGAAGCTCTTTATTTCTACTTCAGTTTCAAATGATAGCCTTGCTGAGTACTCTAGTCTTAGCTATAGGTCCTTGCTTTTTATCTCTTTGACTGTTTTGTGCCTGTCCCTTATGGCCTGAAAGGTTTCTATCGAGAAATCAACTGACAGTCTTATGGGAGCTGCCTTGTAGGAAACTGTTTTTCTCTTGCTGCTTTAAATTTCCAGTTTTTAACCTTGTCATTTTAATTATGAAATGTATTGGTGTGGGCCTATTTGGGTTTATCTTCTTTAGGACTCTCTACACTTCCTGAACTTGTGCGTCTTTTTCTTTGACAAGTATAAGGAAGTTTTCAGTCAATATTTCTTCAAATATGTTCTCAATCCCTTGATCTGTCTTTTCTCTTTCTGATTCTCCAATGAGGCAAATGTTGTTAAGCTTGATGTTGTCCCAGAGGTCCCATAAATTATCCTCATTTCAAATTTTTAATTTTTTAAATATGTACCCAAGGACATGCTTATTGATTTTAGAGAGAGAGGTGGAGGGAGAGTAGAGGGAGGGAGAGAAACATTGATGTGAGAGCAAAATATCAATTGCCTCTTGCATGCGCCTCTACTGGGCACTGAGCCCACAATCAAGGCATGTGCCATGACTGGGAATTCAACCCTCAACCCTTCGGTTTATGGGACAATGCTCCAACCATCTGAGCCACAATGTCCAAGGCATAAAAAAATATGGAACACTTCAGAATTTGCATGTCATCTTTGCATGGGGGCTAAGGCTCATTTTCTCTGTAGCATTCCAATTTTAGTATGTGTGCTATAGAAGTGACACTAGCCTCATTTTTTACATTTCTTTTCTGCTCTAATTGGGTCTTTTCTGATACCTTGTCTTCCAAATTGCTGATTCAGTACTCTGCTTCATTTAATCTGCTATTGATTTCTTCTAGTTTATTCTTCATTTCACATATTATGTTCTTCATTTCTGACTGGTTATTTTTTATTATCTGTATGTCATCTCTTATAATTGCTATCTCTTTGTAGAGGTTCTTGCCAAGTTCACCATTCTTCCCCTAAGCTTTTTGAGCATCCTTATAACCATTGTTTGAACTTTTATCTGGTAGATTACCTCCATTTTGTTTGGGGTGTATTTCCTTGTCTTTTTATTTTGGTTGCCTCTCTGTATTTGTATCTGTGTATTAGGTAGATCTGCTATGTCTCCCACATGGTTATGTGGGCTCTCCTGTTATACTTGAGTTTTAATTAGTGTTGCCTCATCTGTGGGTTGGTTTGCTCCTCTGACTGGCTGACTATGAGGATGGACTCCCAACTACATTGCATGAGCAGCTATATAGGGAATGGCCCCATGAAGCAGAATTCACCACAGCAGTGTGTGGTGCCTGTTGAGATCTCCCTTTGGGTGTCACTTGTGTTACCAATTAGATCATGCTCTGACGTGGTCTGAAATCTGCCATTGGATGTTTTGGACAGGTTAATGTCAGATGCTGCCTGTGACTGCCCTGGCTACCTGTTTGGAACTGCAATCCACAGTTTGTGGCTGCCTCACGGGGCTGGGTGCACATGGGTAGATCCAAGCTGCATGCCAAGGCACAATGAGCCCAGGGTCGGGTCAGCAAAAGGCCGAAGTTACCCCAAGATCTGCCTCTGCCTACCGAATGCCTCTAAGTGTTTCAAACTGGATGCCAGTGCTAGGTCTGAGGCCACTCTGCAAAAGTCTCAGTGTACACCAATGCCAGCTGCCACCTGCCTGGGACCTTCAGACCAGACTTTGTGGTTAGGCAGAGTCTCAGGGAGTTGTCATGGTGAAGCCAATATAATTAATCAGGCTAAAACAGGCCAAGATTTGCCCACGTGGACAGGGTGTGCTACACAGGAATGGTGGCACTATTTGGGCATGCAAGGGAAAAATGACCCTTTCCCTATAGCTTTACAACTCAGTCTCTCTCTGCCATATCCTGAGTCTGCTCAGATCTGCTGGAGAGCTAAGAAAGTCTGCATTGGGGTCCATGTTGGCCACAGCCAACTGACTCCTCCACAACGCATGAGCTAAGCAGGACAGACCACAGGGAAGGTGGTGACTAATGCATTTCCCTAGGCTGGTGTCCCATGAAGAGACGTGTTTGACCCAGGAAAGATGGTATCTGTGGGCATTGTGGGAAATGAACTTAGCATAGGGACTTTCTCGGCTGTTCATCCAGGGGTCTCCCCAAATCCACAAAACCCAATGTCTCTACAACTTCAGTCAGCTCTGAGCTACTTTTTCTCCTGCAGCCCAGGGTGAGTAGCAGTGAATGGGATTTTGTGTGCTGACCCTTTAAAAGTACCCCTGGGTTTCTAGGAGACTCACATCTCTCTGGTGGATGGGGCATCCCCACTATATTTCCCAGCCATGTGTTACATGGGTTCCTCTTCCTGGCTCTGGTGCTCTGGGTGAGGGAGATCATCGTGGAAGTGAGACCCCTCACTCCTCAGTGGGAATCTTTGTAGCTAAGATATCCCTCTAGATTCCCCAAACACCACATGTAGGTGCGGGGCCAGTCATTTTCATATCTCTGCAATTTTCACCAGTCTCAATGTGGCTTCTTATGTAAATCCTTAGTTATAAGACCTCTGTTCAGACAGTCTTCAGTTGGTTTTTCAGGTTGATTGTTGTATAATGTAGTAGCAATTCCAGTTTTGTTCTGGGAGAGGATAGACATAGTTTCTACCTCCTCTGCTACCATCTTGGATCTCCACATGATTAATTTTTTTTTAATGTTTATCCTCACCAGAGGATATGTTTCTTGATTTTTTTTTTTGGAAAGAAAGAGAAACATCAATGTGAGAGATAACTATGTTTGAGGACAATATAGCGAAATTAAAAGTTCACAAATAGCAGTTTGCCAGTCATTCTTACATTCTTTAAATTTCTTAGCCCCAATATACCAGTAATTGTTTCTTGACACCAGAATGCAACCTGCCCTAGGTTTTAAGCAAAAATCAAATAAATGATATCACACAAAAATTAATAAGGCCTAATCACATGCCAGTAAGGTATTTGAAAAGTTTCATCTAAACACTAAAAAACTGAGTTAATTTGACACAGGTAGAGAATCACGATGAAAGAAAAAAAAATGATGGTTTCAATAATTTGTTCACACCAAAAGGTAAGGCAGGTGTGCCCAGCTTCCAATGGGTTAGTCATGAAGAAGACTGAGCTGCAAATCTTGCATATCGTGTTTGATGCATACATGATAGAAGTAGTCAGCAAAATCGTAACTATTTTTCTAATACTTATGCCCTTAGTTATAACCACTTCATAAGCTATGTGGAAGTCAAATTTGAATATGAAGGTAACATTTACCACAACCTAATTTAGATCGGGAAAGTTTATTGAAGAGGATTACCAAGCTGTTTCCCCATGGTTTAAGCCTCAGCTCAAGATCATCTCTCTAGGAAGTTTTCTCTTGCCTCCCCAGACTAGGTTGGGTGGGTGGCCTTCGTCCATGATTCATAACATTCTGTAAGATTTTCTTACTCTTTCCTCACCTTATGCATATCATGTTTATGTCTTTCTTCCCAGACAGTATATTAGAAATAGAATTAGACATAGAAATAGAAATTATTCAAAAATAACAATAATGAACTATGTTAGCATATTTACATTTAAAAATAACTATTCTCCAAAACAAATTAGTGAAAAGAATGTCACTGTTTTACATGTTTGTAAATCTTTATATCTGCATTATGAGAATACAGGTCAGTAAAAGTAGCTAGTACAGCTCAAAATTCCAGTGATTACACAGTGCTTTTCCTTAAGACTGCCATTTGCTTCAGTATGCAGAAGTGCTTTATGTGTACTTTCCATCTTGTCCCACAGAACACTAAAAAGATATGTCCTCCAAGGTCAAGATTTAATAAATCCAATAATTTTCCTGCTTCTTTTAGGACATTCCTATGTGTAACTGGCATCTTGCTTACTTTGAGTGTGTGGCAGTGAAGAATACAACGACTACCAGTACAGTTGGTGCCACTGTCTCATACACGTTGAGGTGCCAATGATTTTACCCACCATTGATTTCTTTTGCACCATTGGTGCAAATATTGATGCAGTAAAAAAGGGAGGCAGCAAATAATGTCTTAATATTATTATAAAAGGGGTTTTAAGCTTTGTGGACTCCCAAAAAGGTGTTAGCAATTCCCAGGAACCCGTGGACCATACTTTAAGAACTGCTGTGGTAAATAGCTAGTGTCCCACTTGATAAATTCTCTAGAGCTGCTATAACAAAACACTGTATACTGGGTGTCCTAGAACAACAGAAGTTTGTTCTCTCACTGGATGCCTTTTTCAAATTATGTTTTATTGATTATGCTACTAGAGTTGTCCCAATTTTTCCCCCTTTGCCTCTCTCTGCCTAGCACTGCCCCCCCAACACACACCACTGTTCACGTCCATGGGTCATGCATGTAAGCACTTTGGCTACTCTATTTCCTATACTGTACTTTACATCCCCATGGCTATTCTGTAACTACCTATTTGTTCTTCCTGACCCCCTCATCTCTTCACCCATTCTCTTATAACCTCTCCCATCTGGCAACCATCAAAACTCCATATCTATGATTCTGTCTCTGTTCTTCTTGTTTACTTAATTTGTTTTTTAGATTCAGTTGTTGATAGGTATGTTTTTATTGTCATTTTACTGTTCATAGTTTGGTCTTCTCACTGGGTGTCTTAAAATAACAGAACTTTTTTTCTCTCACAGTTCTGGAGGCTCAAAGTTTGAAATCAAGATTATCAATACAGCCGTGTTCTCATAGATGGTTCTTCCAGCTTCTGCTGGCCCCAGGCATTTCTTGGCTTGTGGCAGCATAACTCCAATCTCTGCCTCCATCTCCATGTAGGCTTCTCCTCTGTGTATATCTCTGTATGTTCTACTCTTCTTATAAGAATATAGTTAATAGATTCAGGGCCTATTCTACTCGAGTATAATGTTGTAGGGGAGGAAAAAGTTGTCCTTGACCCTCTCAGGAGGTCCCTAGCTAGATGTGAAAATTTCTTTTATACAGTATGGGAGAACTTCCTAAGGAAATGATGACCTCTAGAAACAGATGTGAGTATTTTTATGCTACCTTTCATGAACAGTGGACAGTTGTGGAGAAATATGATGTTAAAGAGTAAAAGGTAAGTGTAGTAAACTAAGAAAAACTTAGCAAGTCCTGTTTGTTCATATTCTTATCAGCATCTCTTTGTCTATAGACATAAGGATGTTTCTTTCCTCCAGATATAAGAGGGCACCTCACACAAGAGTTTTATGATCTATTTCAGGGAAACTTGGGGGAGGTGTCAGAGTGACCTTCCCACTTCTGCTGTTTTCTCAAACTCTTTTAGCTTAAAATATTTAAGGTGCCATATTTTAGGGTAGTATTGAAACTGGAAAAGACACTAGAGTTCAGGCTGCCTGTCATTACCAAACCCAATAAGCAGAGACAGGGCCTGAATCTTTATGGGCCTTTTACTCAGATGGCTGGCAATCTGAGAAGATGGTGGGTTCATACCTTAACAGACCATCTTGTCTTTTCTTTCCAGGCCAAGGTTTGTTTTTTGGTTTTTTTTTTTAATTTATTGATTGATTATGCCATTACAGTTGTTCAATTCTCCCCCTTCATTCCCTTCCACCCTACCCCCCATCCCCACCATTACCCCCCCTTTAGTTTATGACCCTGTGTCTCAAGTTCTTTAGATTCTATATTTCCCATACTATTCTTGCCCCCCATCTATTTTCTATCTACTGTCTATGCTACTTATTTTCTGTACCTTCTCCCCCCTTCTCCTTCTCCCACTCCCCTGTTGCTAACCCTCCTTGAGATCTTCCTTTCTATGTTTCCACTCCTGATCTAGCTGTCCTCTTAGTTTGCTTTTGTTTTAGATGTGGTTCTTAATTAACTGAGTTTGCTGTCCTTTACTGTTCATATTTTTATCTTCTTTTTCTTAGATAAGTCCCTTTAACATTTCATATAATAAGGGCTTGGTGGTGATGAACTCCTTGAATTTGATCTTATCTGAGAAGCACTTTATGTGCCCTTCCATTCTAAATGAAAGCTTTGCTGGATAGAGCAATCTTGGTTGTAGGTCTTTGGATTTCATGATTTGGAATACTTCTTTCCATCCCCTTCTTGCCTGTAAGGTCTCTTTTGAGAAGTCCGCTGACAGTCTGATAGGAACTCCTTTGTAGGTGACTGTCCCCTTATCTCTTGCTGCTTCTAGGATTCTCTCCTTCATTTTAATCTTGGCTAATGTAATGATGATGTGCCTTGGTGTGTTTCTCCTTGGGTCCAACTTCTTTGGGACTCTCTGAGCTTCCTGGATTTCCTGAAAGTCTATTTCCTTTGCCAGATTGAGGAAATTCTCCTTTATTATTTGTTCAAATAAGTTTTTCATTGGTGGCTGTTCCTTTCCCCCTTCTGGTACCCCTATACTTCTGATGTTGGAGCGTTTAGAGATGTCCTGGAGGTTCCTAAGACTCTCCTCATTTCTTTGAATTCTTGCTTCTTCACTCTTTTCTGTTTGGCCATTATTTGCTTTCTTCTGGTCCACTCCATTGATTTGAGTCCCAGTTTCCTTTTCATCGCTATTGGTTTCCTGTGCAATTCCATTCATTTCAATTAGTTTCGCCTTCATATGTTTCTCTAATTTGTGGCTATAATCAACCAGATCTGTGAGGATCCTGATCACCAGTGTTTTAAACTGCGTCTGAGAGTTTTGCTATTTCTTCATTGCTTAGGTTTATAGGCTCTGGGGCTTTGAAATCTTCTTGAGCCATTTTTGGTCTGTTTGTGCCCTTTAAGTTTGAGGAGCAGAGCCCTGGACTCCCAGGTCTCTGGGTTGTGACGCTGTATGTGGGGGCATGGTCAGAGCGGGGAAATGGCGGTTCCCTCTGCTGTTTCTTGCAGCTGGGTGAGGAGCAGAGCTTTAGGTGGTTCAGCAGGGCCGGGCCACTCAGAGTCGCTGGGTTATGACGCTGTATGTGGAGGCGGGGTCAGAGCAGGGAAATGGCGGCGCCCTCTGCTGCCACTGGGGGGCCTGCTGGATCTCGACTAATCGCCCACTCCCTCGCTTTATCCGTGCACGAATGTGCGACCACAGTCAACCTGCAGCCCTGCTCCCTTGCTATTTCCCCGCGGTCGTTCGCTGTGTCGTTCACTAGGTCCAACCCTGCACCTGGATTCCGCGTGCCTGAGTCCTTCTGACCAAGTTTTCCTGTGCAACCCTGCTCTGCGAGCTGCTGGTTTCACTACTCTTACCGGTCAGGCTGAAGAATTTGTTGTTATCAGACTTCTGAAAAGTTCAATTTTCTGTGTTCTGGCTGTGTTTTCTGTTGCTAATATTTAGTTGTCTCTAAACTTGGTTGTGTGAGAAAGCATGGCGTCTCCACCTATGCCTCCATCTGGGCGGAAGTCCCCAAGCCAAGGTTTTTACAGCAGGGACTAAACAAGGTGTGGTGAGGGGTTTTGAAATTCAGGAAAAAGTTAACTGGATTAAAAGATGACGATTTCAGCATTCTTGTCCTGGGTGGTGGTCTTAAGCTGTGCCCAGGTGGTCTTTAGCTGTGTCCTAGGTGGTGGTCATCTCACCCTGGAGAACAATGGTTCAAATACCATCTTGAGTTGCTTGTAGTACCTCTGAGGAACAAAGGTGGGACTGCTTATGGTCTCCTGGAGTCAGGATGGGTCATACCTTTAGTTCTTGGAATAAAAGCGTTTATATGCATTGATTACTAAGCTTATTAGCTATTACTTTTCAACTCTTAAGTCTCCTATCATTATGTCATCTTAGCTAATTATATCTACAAAGACCTGAATTTCAAATAAGGATGCATTCTGAGATTCTAGATAAACATGAATTTGTGGGAACACTACTCAAGTCCCTAGACCCACCAATATTTCCCAAGGTAACCAATCCCAGAGCTGCTGTGAATATGGGTGGCTAAAAGTTCAAAACTGTCCTTTCTCTAGAGTCTAGAGAATTGCCCTTGACAAAAATTGCTTCACCCAAGAAGATATTTGACCCCTCCCACAGGCAGCTCACAACCAATGACCAACTGATATTATGGCACAAAAACTTGGCCCTCTTGCCTCAAGGCAGTGCATTTGTGGTGAAAGTCATATTCCCCTTGAGGTGTGGCTGTAGCTAGTCTCCAGCTGAAACCACAACCTCAACTGATGTTTTCCCCTAACCCATCCTACTTCCCTCACTCCCTTCCTTTTGAGAGCATAACCCAAAATAATTCCTGAATCGTTTTTCACCTCTTTGATTGAAAATTATTAATGATTGCTGCTTCATTTTAATTAAAGACAAAGAAGTTAGACAACATTATACATTTTGAGTGGGAAAGTAAATTGATATCTTTCTCGAATGCAGTCTGGCAATATAAATTTTTAAGTTTAAATATATATCCTCTTTGACATAACAATTCCACTTTTGAGAATTCTCAATCAGACAAGAGTGCAAAGAGCTATATAAAAAAAATGACCATAACTATAGTTCTTTTTTTAAATATATTTTATTGATTATGCCATTACAGTTGTTCTATTCCCCCCTTCATTCCTCTCCACCCTACCCCCCACCCCCACCATTACCCCCCCTTTAGTTTATGACCATGTGTCTCAAGTTCTTTAGATTCTGTATTTCCCATACTATTCTTGTCCTCCCCCTATCTATTTTCTACCTACTGTCTATGCTACTTATTTTCTGTACCCTCTCTCCCCTTCTCTTTCTCCCACTCCCCTGTTGCTAACCCTCCATGTGATCTTTATTTCTATGGTTCTGCTCCTGATCTAGCTGTCCTCTTAGTTTGCTTTTGTTTTAGATGTGGTTCTAAATTAACTGAGTTTGCTGTCCTTTACTGTTCATATTTTTATCTTCTTTTTCTTAGATAAGTCCCTTTAACATTTCATATAATAAGGGCTTGGTGGTGATGAACTCCTTGAATTTGATCTTATCTGAGAAGCACTTTATCTGCCCTTCCATTCTAAATGAAAGTTTTGCTGGATAGAGCAATCTTGGTTGTAGGTCTTTGGATTTCATGACTTGGAATACCTCTTTCCATCCCCTTCTTGCCTGTAAGGTCTCTTTTGAGAAGTCCGCTGACAGTCTGATAGGAACTCCTTTGTAGGTGACTGTCCCCTTATCTCTTGCTGCTTCTAGGATTCTCTCCTTCATTTTAATCTTGGCTAATGTAATGATGATGTGCCTTGGTGTGTTTCTCCTTGGGTCCAACTTCTTTGGGACTCTCTGAGCTTCCTGGATTTCCTGGAAGTCTATTTCCTTTGCCAGATTGGGGAAGTTCTGTTTTATTATTTGTTCAAATAAGTTTTCCACTTTCTCTGTCTCTTCCCCTTCTGGTACCCCTATACTTCTGATGTTGGAGCATTTAAAGATGTCCTGGAGGTTCCTAAGCCTCTCCTCATTTTTTTGAATTCTTGTTTCTTTATCCTTTTCTGTTTGGTCATTTTTTTCTCCTTCTGGTCCACTCCTTTGATTTGAGTCCCAGTTTCCTTTCCATCTCTATTGGTTTCCTGTGTATTTCCCTTCATTTCAATTAGTTTAGCCTTCATATGTTCCTCTAATTTGTGACTAAAATCAACCAGTTCTGTGAGCATCCTGATCACCAGTGTTTTGAACTGTGCATCTGAAAGTTTGGCTATTTCTTCATTGCTTAGATTTATTGGTTCTGGGGTTCTGAGTTGTTCTTGAGCCATGTTTTGATCTGTTTGTGCCTGTTAGGTATGAGGAGCTGAGCCTTAGGTGTTCACCAGGTCGCGGCCACCCAGGTCGCTGGTTTGTGACGCTGTATGTGGGGGCGGGGTCAGAGAGGGACAATGGTGGTTCCTGCTGCTGGGGCCTGCGTGGTCCGTCTCACTGCTTGCTCCTTCACCAGTTATCTGCGCGCAAATGTGTGACCGTGGTCAGCCCTCAGTGGGTCCACCCGCTTCTCCACACCTGGGCCGCCCACGGCTGCCGACGTGCCTGGGTCGCACACCCAGGTCAGTCCCGTGGATCTTTCCTGCCTGACCCCGCTCTGCTGCTGGCTCTGCCCCTCTTATCAGTTTGGCTGAAGGGTTTGTTGTTGTAAGACTTCCATATAGTTCAATTTTCTGTGGTTTGGCTGCGTTTTTGTTGCTAAAACTTTGTTGTTTTTAAACATGGTTGTGCGAGAAGGTGCGGTGCTTCCACCTATGCCTCCATCTTGGTGGAAGTTCACTATAGTTCTTAAGATTAAAAAAAAACGGTTTAAATATTGGTTAAATAAATAATAGTATATGTGTATTCAAACCTAAGTTCATATGCCCAACATGCAGTAAGACTAATTACTAAAATACCAAATATGCAACAAATAAAGAGTTTATGTTGAGAGGCACCCAAATGAGATAAAGAGAACGCTCAAATCTGTTGCCCTAATCCAGACTTAATGGCCTTTTTTGAAGGGGTTATGGGGAACAGATATGCGGAAGTGTTAGCAGGTCAAGTTGTAATTGAAGTGTCACTTGGAAGGGACCAAGCCAAGGTGTGTCTTCCTACACATGTTTGGAATGTGTGGGTTCTTTATGTATGTATGTATGCATGCATGCATGTATGTATGTATGTATTTTATTTTATTCTGCTACTATGGTTGTCCCAACTTTTCCCTTTGCCCCCTTCCACCCAGCACCCCGAACTCCTTCAGGCCATCCCCAAAGCTTTGTGCATGTCCATGGGTCATGCATATAAGCCCTTTGGGTACTCCATTCCCTATACTATACTTTACATTCCCATGGCTATTCTGTAACTACCTATTTGTATTTCTTAATCCTGTCACCTATTCACTCAATACCCCACATCCTGCTCTCATCTGGCAAACTTTTTCTTAAATAAGCCCCTGTAATGTTCTTGACTCTGTGCAGGAAAGATTTCAAGATATGAGTACAGGTAATTTTGAAATATGCTCATTAAAGCTTGGGACAATGAGGCAAAAAAGGGGCTTAGGGTGGAAGAAGCAAGATCACAGCAACAGGAGTGATCCAAAGTGGGGCTGCTTTGGCTGGACAGTGAGACAAATGAAGGACTTAGGATGGAGGAAGCAAGACAGTAGCAATAGAAATAAACCACAGCTGGTTTGCTTTACTGACTGAGAAGTCACAGAGGCAAAAGGAGGGCCCTTGGAGACAGAATCAGGTTTAGTCTGGGACAAGTTGCCACTGGCCACTGCTCCCCTGGTTGCAGTTCTCACTGGAACCCTTACAGCTAAGGAAAAAACAAAAGTACACACTTGAGGAAAGGGGGCAGATGGGCATGCTCAAGGGAGAATGCACACTAGGTCTTTTATTTTGAGGGTTGTTAGGGTGGTCAGTGACATAGGCTGTGAAAAAATTTGTAAAGAAACAAAGTTGTAGAGAATCAAGTTTTTATTTACTCTCCAAGAAAGGAAAGGGTCATGGTGTGGAGAGCTACAACAACCTTGAAAGCCAGGGGCTTTGAGCTTTTATTGCATTATAATTGGATTAAAAAAGGGTGGGGGTTACTGTTGTATGGCTGTTGCAGGTGTTGTAAGTATACGGTTTGTTCCAGTACTATATCCTGCCTGTGTAGGGAGCAGTTAGTTCTGTTTTTGCTTTCCAGTAATTTCCAGTCCTGGGGACATAAACACAAAAGAATAAAACGGCAGTCATGTTTAACAAGGTCATAGGCTTGCTAGGCAAATGATGCCATGATAGCAAAGGGAATAGCAAATGGTCCTGACTTTATCTTTTCATTTCTCTCTTGTTTTACAATAGATTTTTCTTTATGACCTGGCCTGGTTTTGGTTTGGAGGAGTATGGACAAAGTTTTCTTCTTCTGTAAGTACTTTAGGTGGTCTATAGGCCTCGAGCTATTCCTCCTGTGGGTCTAAATATGGGTCATCCAGGAGAAGAGGGTGGAATTGAACAGCCCAAAAAGTGACAGCTGCTAGGGGGGGAAGGTGGATAATCTCTCAAAGGAAAAGCACCAAGATCTGTCATTGTGTCAGACTTAAGATAGTCGAGGAAAGAAAGGCACCCAAGAGATTAGGAGATTTCTTGCAGACAGAATGAGGACTCAGGCTGTGTCACAGCCCA